CAGTGAGGGACGGGGGCACAGGGACCCCAAGGCCAATGTGGCAAACCTATCCCAGAACACAAAGAAATTACAGGAGGAAGGTTCAGGAGTATGTCCAGCAGGCGGGGATGGAAGTGGGTTTGGAACTGGGGGTTGGACAAGAATGAGTACCTGGAGAAGGAAGACGGACGGGATTTTGAAGTCCCCTCCAGGGTTGTCTACAAGAACAAAAAGTGGGGGTTGGGGGGGCTGGCACTGTGATGTAGAAGGTTAAGCCTGTCGGTGCCGTGGCTCATTAGGCTAATCCTCCGCCTTGTGGCGCCGGCACACCAGGTTCTAGTCCCGGTCAGGGCGCCGGATTCTGTCCTGGTTGCCCCTCTTCCAGGCCAGCTCTCTGCTGTGGCCAGGGAGTGCAGTGGAGGATGGCCCAAGTGCTTGGGCCCTGCACCCCATGGGAGACCAGGATAAGTACCTGGCTCCTGCCATCGGATCAGCGTGGTGCGCCGGCCGCGGCGGCCATTGGAGGGTGAACCAATGGCAAAGGAAGACCTTTCTCTCTGTCTCTCTCTCACTGTCCACTCTGCCTGTCAAAAATTAAAAAAAAAAAAAATAGAAGGTTAAGCCTCCACCTGCAGCTTGGGCATCCCATATGGGTGTTGGTTCAAGTACTGGCTGCTCTACTTCTGATCCAGCTCTCTGCTAATATGTTTGGGAAAGCAGTAGAAGATGGCCCAAGTGCACCCACGTGGGAGACCCAGAAGAAGCTCCTGGCTCAGCCCTGGCCATTGCAGCCATTTTGGGAGTGAACCAACAGATGGAAGATCTCTCTCCCCCACACCCCCTCTTTCTGTCTCCCTCTACTCTCTCCTCTCTATTTATGTAAATATTTGGAAGAAAAAGAATAGAAAGAGACGAGCTCAGCACAGGTAGCCTGTATAGTCTAATATCATGTGCTCAGAGGCTGTTGTATCTAGGAGATTATGACACAAACACAGAGGAAATGAGAGGCAGCCCCCAAAGGCCCCTGTTTCAGCAAATGTAGCTCCTGGACGGGTAGGTAATTGGTCCAGTTTTCAACATGCATGGAAGGTTCACTCACCTGCCTTCGTCAGTTCAGTACAAGCTGAGAAAATCTGTCAGACTCTGGGCTCGCAGGGTTTTTCAAATGGGGAGACAGGACATGCGAGTGTTCATTCTAAGAGCACGCCACTGGATAGCTATGTGCTCCCACTTTTATTTAGTGGGTACCAGCTAGTCTACAAGCCAGCAGGCACGTAGGCAAGGTTATACATCAACTTAAGGATTTGGGAAAAGGAATCCGGTCTGGTAGTCTAACTTAGGGATTAGAGCTGTGTTGTAAATCTTCAGAAACAGGCCCATTTAGATGCTTGTGCAAATTCACAAATTCCCCAAAATATTCCAGGTATCAATTCATGTCCATTAGCCCCCTGCTGCTCCCGCTGCCACATTCCTTTGGGGCAGGTATGCCCATCTCCAGCCTGTTTTGGTGTGAGCAGAAACTATGGCCATGCCTCTAATTTCAGGGCATTTATGCAGCATCTCTACGTGGGCTGGGTTCTGGGAAGTCGAATGAACAAGCAGACAGGGTGCCTGCCCCAAAAGGAGCTAACTGTGGAGACTATGCTTTTAGGAAACGTTAAAAAAAAAATCAGGTGCTAAGGGGGGATTTAAGGGAGCCCAGAAAGTAAGAAAGGGTGACATGATTCTCAGATGAGTCCTGCAGGACAAGACAAGCTTCCAGGCAGACAGGGGAGCAGGTGGAAAGCGCGTGACAGCAGTCGTGGCACACACGTGGGCACACGTGGGCACACGTGAGCACATGTGAGGCTGGCAAGCAGGCAGCCTCTTCCAACTCCACAAGTCTGCTAAGGACTCTGCACTGTTTAAAATCTGGCGCTGCAGGCGGAGGATTAGCCAAGTGAGCCGCAGCGCTGGCACCCCGGGTTCTAATCCTGGTTAGGGTGCCGGATTCTGTCCCAGTTGCTCCTCTTCCAGTCCAGCTCTCTGCTGTGGCCCAGGAAGGCAGTGGAGGATGGCCCAAGCGCTTGGGCCCTGCACCCCATGGGAGACCAGGAGGAAGCACCTGGCAGCGCACCGGCCATGACAGCCACTTGGGGGGTGAACCAATGGAAGGAAGACCTTTCTCCCTCTATCTAACTCTGCTTGTCAAAAAAAAAAAAAAAAGGCTAAAAGAAAAAGGGTGAGGGGGTCACAGGTTGTGATCTGTGTTCTGTGTGTCCTGTAGCTTAGAAATGACCAGGTGCACAGACTGCTTTGTTTGGCTGTGATAAGAACTTGGAATACATTCCTTTCTCCCCTTAAGAATGTGACCCACTCTGTAACAGAAGCCCAGATCTGACTTTCTGATCTGGACTTCAAAATATACATGCAACTCACAACCCACGAGTCTTACAGACGCAGTGAGAGCTCAGGCCACGGCGGGACTGAGCGCTCAGGCTGTGACAGGGCCACAACCTGTTAGCCTTGGGGCTAATCTGTGAAGCTTTGCCCACCAACACTGGCACCGCCCTCTGGTGACAAGGGTCACAGGTCACCTGGGGTCTCCACTGTGCTGGCTGCCATCTCACCCTGAGCAGGTGACCGCTCACAGAGAGGTGAACCTCGGGCTGAGACGCAACTTCCTGCGGAGACCTGCTTCCATCCCAACTGAACAACTGGGCCTTCATCGTTCTGGAACAGGTTCACTGGGTGGTTAACGTGGTTGATGCCCAGGGAGTGCATTCCCTGGGGAGTTACTGTCGCTATTCTCAGCCTCCTTAAGCCTGGTGGAGTGTTAGGGGGACTCTTTATGATACAAGAAGCCACAGTTTGATGAGCTCCTCTTTTCAAATGTACGGGACACTTTGCCTCAGTAATTCCACTTTAAAGAAATTATCCTAAGAAAATAGTTATGAATCTGTGCAGAAGATTGTTAAAGGGATGTTTTTAATACTGAAGCTGTCTAGAATAACAAAAATTATATTTTACTTATTTTTTTGACAGGCAGAGTGGACAGTGAGAGAGAGAGACAAAGAGAAAGGTCTTCCTTCCATTGGTTCATCCCCCAGTGGCTGCTGCTGCCGGCGCACTGCCAAGAGCCAGGTGCCTCCCCTGGTCCCCCATGCAGGTGCAGGCCCAAGAACTTGGGCCATCCTCCACTGCACTCCTGGGCCAGAGCAGAGAGCTGGACAGGAAGAGGAGCAACCGGGACAGAATCCGGCGCCATGACTGGGACTAGAACCCGGTGTGCCAGCGCCGCAAGCGGAGGATTAGCCTATTGAGCCGTGGCACCGGCCAGAGTAACAAAAATTTTAAATAACATAAACATTTTACCGTAGGGGTTTATACAAAGAAAACGTTGGTTTGCCTATATACTGTAATGCCATGTAGCTATTAAATACTTAAAATACTAAATATAATCTCAAAATAGGGTGGGTGTTGTGGAGCAGCGGGTGAAGTTGCCGCCTGGATGCCCACATCCCATATCTCACTGCCTGGGACTGAGACCCACCTCCAGCTCCCATCCAGCCTCCTCCGAATTTGCCTGGGAGGCAGAAGATGATGGATGAAGTAACTGAGTCCCTGCCACCCATGTGGGAGACGTGGATGGAGCTCCTGGCTCCTGGTTCCAGTGTTGCCCAGCCCTGGCTGCTGCTGGCATTTGGGAAGTGAACCCGCAAATACAACATACATTTCTCTCTCATTCTGCCTTTCAAATAAATAAAAAATAAATATTTTTTTTAAAATTTAACTCTGGGGAAAGGCGTTAATTAGTACGATCCTATTTTTGCAAACACAGGCACACAATAGGTACACAGAAGATACTGGAAGACTATAAAAATAAAACAACTAATTTTTTCATGTGGGACTCTGGGCGATCCTTTTGCTTATTTTTTTCTAATTCTTCTACAATAACGCGCATAATTTTATGATTTAAACAATGACATGGAGTGGGCATTGCGGCGCGGGGGTTACGGCACCATTTGGATGCCCCGTATCCGAGCGCTGGTTCAAGTTCCGGTTCTCTGGCCCCGTCCAGCTCCCCGCCATGAGACTGGGAAAGCAGTGGACGATACACCCCGAGTACTTAGGCCCCTGCCACCCACGGGTGAGCAAGAAGCTCCTGGCTCCTGGCGTGGGCCTGGTCCATCCCCTGCTGATGCAGGCATTTGGGGAGTGAACCAGCAGAAGGACCTCTCTCTCTGCCACTGTGCCTTTCAAGTAAGTAAGCAGGCACATAAACAAATATTTTAAAAAACTTTATATTTCCAGAGGTCTCCGGTATTGCAAGACATATTCTGTTGCTTGACCCGGACTGGGAGCACACTGGCCTCTGCTTTGTAATTATTTGTTAAAATGTAAAGTTGGGGCCAGCTGGTGGCGCACTAGGTTAATCCTCCGCCTGCTGCGCCAGCATCCCATATGGGCGCTAGTTCTAGTCCCGGTTGCCCCTCTTCCAGGCCAGCCCTCTGCTGTGGCCCAGGAGGGCAGTGGAGGATGTCCCGAGTGCTTGGGCCCTGCACCCCATGGGAGACCAGGAGAAGCACCTGGCTCTTGGTTTCGGATTGGCACAGCGCCGGCCGTGGTGGCCATTTGGGGAGTGAGTCAACGGAAGGAAGACCTTTCTCTGTCTCTCTCTCTCTCTCTCACTGTCTGTAACTCTACCTGTCAAATAAATAAATAAAAATCTTAAAAAAAAAAAAAAAGTAAAGTTAACAAACCTTCTTCTATGGAGCTCCTGCCCGCAATTTCCCAAGTGCTTAACGAGATACACGTATTTTCCGTTATCTTATACATAGTTCCGGAACAGTAGTATGCATATTAAATTCGCAATTCACTGAGCCATAGACTGCAAACCCCGCGGACTTCCCGGCCGACCTGAGCGGCACGGACTGCAAGTCCCAGCAGGCCTTGCGGCCAGCGGACCGGGAACTACGGAGGCCGAGACGGAGGCTGGGCCCTCCGGTCCTTTCCCTCCCAGAAGCCCGCGGGCGGCTAGGAACGCTGTCCGTATCATGGCCGCGGGAGCCGGGACGGCGGGCCCTGCTTCCGGCCCGGGCGTCGTGCGTGACCCGGCGGCGTCACAGCCGAGGAAGCGGCCCAGCCGGGGGGGCGGGGAGGGCGCGCGGCGATCGGACGCGATGGCGGGAGGAGGCGGGAGCAGCGACGGCAGCGGGCGGGCGGGCCGGCGGGCGTCCCGCAGCGGCGGGCGGGCTCGGCGGGGGCGCCACGAGCCGGGGCTGGGGGGTCCTGGGGATCGGGGTGCGGGGGAAGCACGGCTGGAAGAAGCGGTCAACCGCTGGGTGCTCAAGTTCTACTTCCACGAGGCGCTGCGGGCCTTTCGGGGTAGCCGGTACGGGGACTTCAGGCAGATCCGGGACATTATGCAGGGTGAGGGCCGGGCCCGGGAAGGAGGCCGGGGAGGGGGTCGTGGGGACGGGGTCGGGGCTGGGGTCGCCGAGCCAACGCTGTCTTCTTTCCCAGCTCTGCTTGTCAGGCCCCTGGGGAAGGAGCACACGGTGTCCCGGTTGCTGCGGGTTATGCAGTGTCTGTCGCGCATTGAAGAAGGGGAGAATTTAGGTATGGCTGTTTTTGTGCTCGTCTGCGGGCGTACTTGCGTCGGGTTTTGTTGTTTTCAAACTTACATCCGGGACGGAGGGGTTCCGGGTTAAAGTGCGCGGCCGCTTGCACCGCGGGGGTCTCGTGCGCGCTCGCTCGCTTTCCCGGGCCCGGAGGTTCCGTGGGCTGCTTTTCTGTGTGCGGGTTGTTGGGTTTTTTTCTCCCTTTTCTTTTCTTCCTCCCACCTGTTAGTTGCTCAGCCCAACTTTGTTGCTGTCCAAAGAGACTTAGTCTCTCCCCCGTAGTGATGTTTTTTCAGCGTGTGAGCACGTTTCCCGCCCCCTCTCCGAATTGAACTTGACAGCTGTTTGGCAAACTGGCTGAAGTTTCTGGCCATTTGTGTCTGAGGAGGATGTGTGTATCCTGAATCTGAGAGGCAAATGCACGTGTTAAAAATACCTTTTTTACGTGCCTCGAAAAATCCTGAAAGATGAGCACATTTTAAATCCGTTGGCCTGAGTTTGGGCACTCTGACCGGGTCTGGAAGCCCGGGTGTGTCAGCAAGTGGAATTCAGATCTTGCTATAGTTGCATGCTCCCTGCCCCTAAGTGTACACTCATGTGTTTGGACATCGCTTTCCTGCTCCTTAGAGAAGAGCTTGAAATGAGAACTGTGCTTTGTCCTAGACTGCTCCTTTGATATGGAAGCTGAGCTTACACCCCTGGAGTCAGCCATCAATGTGCTGGAGATGATTAAAACCGAGTTTACGTTGACAGAAGCGGTGATCGAATCCAGCAGAAAGCTGGTCAAGGAGGCTGTAAGGCTCTGTTTTTATTTCTTTCTTCTTTTAACAAATATCAGGGGTCTTTGAGGATGCAGCGCGTGATCCTTCCTGTGTGGGGCAGAGGAGAACCGGGGTGGGCAGAGAGCAAGTGCGTGTGCACACGGATGTTACTTCTCTGGCCCCTTTTCCACCCAGGCTTGGGAAGTATCATTAATGGCAAGCACTTGACTTTCCTGATTTCGGTTTTTCCCTGTGGCCCCAGCAGAAAGGGCCATAGTACACAGGCGTTAAAGACTGACATGTTGGAGGAGGGGGTTACAGCATTTGGGAGAACAGTGAAAGGGCTGCAAGTAACTGGCCTACGGCTTGGCCACCCTTGTTTATAATCAACCAAGGAGAAAAGCTGGGGCCTTGGAAAATGTAGGACTGATTGTGTTGTTTCATGCAATTGTCTACAGAAAGAGGCTTAGCACTTTTAGATTAGAATCGGGGATGCTGGGATAATGTGCCAGCTAGAAACCCAGGAATGGTAGAAGAGTGGTAGAGGGCTAGCACAGACACTGTTCCTGACATCAAGAAAGAAAACGAGTGTCTGGGAATTTGGAACCGTCCCTGTGGTGTGGCTCATGTCGCTTCAAGTAGTGGAACTTATTTTCATTTCAAACATGGAAGTGACTGTGGGACCAGGAAGCAGAGGCAGAGGTGAGGACTGAAAACCAGCTCAGCATTGCTTTGGTGGTGGGAACGAGGGAGCTGGTGAGAACGGGAAAGAGCACTGCAGAGGCACACCCGGTGCTGTGCAGGGAGTGCAGGGAAGGCCTGCCCCGGCTGTGGCTGTGTGGAGGCACTCAGGTGCCCTGTTAAAAACAGCTGGCGTGCAGGAGGTACAGGTGCTTTGCTTATTCACTTAAAGACCTTGGCCTTGCAAAGAATGCTTAGATAACAGTGAATTCTAAAGAGGAGTAACTCCAGGAACACACGTTTAGTCAGGCTGCTGCTGGGCATCCAGTGCCAGAGGAGACATTGTCCAGGAGGAGAAGCCGATGTCTGTTTTGAGCACAGCAAAGATTCTTTTGAAGGGAAGAAATGGTACCCATGTGCAACTCCGGCTAAGTAGCTAGTTCAAAATGCAACCCCTTCCGAACACAAGGGCTGTAGACTGGCCATGGCTCCACTTCAGGAAGTCTTTTTATTGTTTGTTTATTTATTTAAGCTCATTGATCTTGTCTTTGGAGGCTTCATTAGGACAATCTGTTTGCAAGATGTAAACTTCCTTAGAATAATCAACTGTTTTCTTAGTCTGATTCCCATCCACTTTCCCATTCTCCAGCAGGAACCAAATCTTTTGTTGAACTCAGTGCCTTACTGTTATTAATGGTGTAACAGTTCACTCCAAAATTGAGCAGTTTAAAACAGTAAATATTATCTCTCAGTTTCCAAGGGTGAGGAATCTGGTAATGGTTAGCTGAGTGGTTCCCTCTCCGGTTTCTCAGGTTCTGGTCAGGCTGTCAGCTAGAGTTGCACTCATTTCAAGACCCAACGGAGGCTGAAGGATCTGCTTGCACACTCACAGTTGTAGCGGGACTCACTCCTCACTGGCTGTTGGCTGAGACTTCAGTTCCTAGCCTCCACAGAGGTGGCTGTATACAGCCCAGCATCTTGTTTACCCGAGAGCAGGTAGCCCAAGCGCAAGCCTGCGTGAGAGCCCGAGGCAGAAGGCAGAAGCCCTCGTCTTCTAGAATCTGATCTTAGAAGTGACATATCAGCACTTCTGCCACATGCTGCTGTCACACAGAACACCAACTCTGGTGGGCTTTGTGCACGGGACTGTGCAGAGGTGGGCATCACCAGGCACTGTCTTAAGGCTGCCAACCACAGTTAGCTTGATCTTGCTGTTGAGTGATTTACTTTTTTAAATTTACTTTTTAGAAGTTTCTGATTTAGAGTCATAAAATCTGTTAGCAGTCATCATTAGGGAAAAAAAACACCTTGGGATGCCTAGGCTCAGTGAGGCTTTTTGATCATTTCAGCTATATAATGTATTACCATAGGCATTTTAAAATTGTAAAAACTTTGAGGTTCTAAGTTAGAATTTCTCAGTGTAGGGTCAGGGGATCTCTTAGGGTTTCTGAGACCCTTTCTGAGGATTCCTGAGGTCAAAGCTGTTTTCATAACAATACCAAACGTTATTTGACTTTTTCGTCGTGTTAACATTTGCACTGATGGTACAGGAGCAGTGATGGGTAAAACTCCTTGTGCTTTATCACAGTTAAGGTGGTGGTAAATTGTACTTAGTCACTGTCATATTTTGCACTGCCAAGTGCAGTTTTTCAAAAAACCCATCAGTTTTAATTAAGAGTGTCTGCTCAAGCACTAACATTTCATTAATTGTATTGAGTCTCAGTCCGTGCGTAAACATCTTTTCAGGATTTGAGGTGCTAAGAGAGGGAGCCTGTCTAAAGCATTTCTGCTGCAGACTAACGCTGGTAGTGTCTTCAGGAAGAGCACTTGGACGTGACTGTTGCACGCTGAACATGCTGGGTTTTTCTGTGGTGCAACACTTTTATCTGAAAGAACTGACAAATGAGGATTGTTCAGACTTATATGTTTGGTGGCTCTTTTCTTGAGAATGAGCAAAGTGAATATGTCACTTAAAACAGTTGACAGTATTCTTTGTCAGTGGTAAAAGTCAAGCTCTTAGATGAAAATATCAAATTTTGGAAAATTAAATTTGAAAACTACCCAAATGTTAGACTTTTCTGAAGATTTTTGGTATCAACTGTGATTTTAAAAATATTTTTAATGAATGTGTCAACATTTGGAAGATCTGCATAACTCAGTCAACCATTATTTTCCAATGATCAATGTGTGACGCTACAAAATCATTCATGGATGAAAGATCCATTTAAAGTGCAAGATGGACTGATGGATTCTAATGTAACAGGTTAAGAAAAATTTACTTGTCAAAGATTTAAAATAGAATCAAAGAATATCTGTGATTTTTTGAAAAGACTATTAAACTGTCTTTTTCTTTTCCACCATCATATCCCTGTAAAGCTAGTTTTTTTATATACCTCAACCCAAACAGTGTATCACAACAGATTAAATGCAGAAGCACTTAGAAGAATCCAGCCATCTTCTAGTAACCAGAAATTAAATGGATTTGCAGAAAGGTTAACAGTGCCATCCTTCTCATTAAACTTTTGTCTTAGAAAATACAGTGGTTTTTCATAGATTTGTTACTTACATTGACCTGTAATGAGTTTATTATTACTTTTTAATGAATTAATAAATAAATTTCAATTTTTTCAGTATTTCTCATCTGGTAAATATCAACAGATATAACCCACATAAACAAAACTCTGGGTGTTCATGAACATTTCAGGGGAGTAGAGAGGAGTCCTGAGACCAGAAAGTTTGAGACCTGCTCCTGTGAGCTGTGATTTATATTAAGACTGTAGTGCTTTTCTCTTCAGACAAGATTCTTTCCTCAGATTTCTTTGGAGAAGAGGGGAAAACAACGTATATTAGGTGTTCCAGGGGAAGCTTTGGTATTTATTTTGTACCTTATCGGTTTGTTTGTTTATTTGTATGTTGCTTTTAGCTGTGCAGCAGTTTCCCAGCTCTGTTAGTGACAAACTTTTGGGGTCTTCCCCACCTGGGACGCTGCTACCTCAGAGACACTTCACAGCTTCAACTCTGGACTTCGTTAACAGCGTTAACACGTGCTGTTTCCCAGGCCCCCTTGTTTCTTTTTGTGTGTCCTTAAGCCGTTTTACAGTTCTGTGAATGTTTCTTCCCTTCCTTAATTAATGTGTGCTTTCTAGCATTCTTCCCCATATAAACCTATTCTGAAAATCGATGCTTTGCAGTTTCCTTTTTAAGTTACCTGGAAACTACTGATACTGCTTACATGCTTAGAGAACCTAAACAAGTATGTAAGAAAAGAAATTATATCTGAGAACAGCCAAGTGAAAAAGCAACGATTCATCTCTCAAAATTGTTTTCCACAGGAAATTAATACATAGTTTATCGCACAAACTTGGAAGGCAGACTTTTAATTTCAATTCTGAAAGTATTCATGTGTCTTTTTTTGTTTCACAAATTAAAGGCAGGTGAGGGGAAGAATCTATATTTTGTCTCCCTCTTGATGCAATGTCAGTCTTGGACAGAATGCATGGAGCAACTGTCTGAGAATCCTGAAATGCAGGCACGCAGGGAAAAGACCAGAATTTTCCTGTATATCAAACCAGTGATGAGCACTTTGCCATTTTTTCCTCCCCCGAGTATCACACGGACTGGGCTCAGAGGCAGCCTGAAACCTGTGCATGCCCTCCGCATGCTCCAAAAGGAGGGCTCTCTGGCCTGAGGATCTCCTGAGGGCCAGAGCGGTGGGAGGGTTCCCTTGTCTCCTCCTGGCGCCCTGGCGGCAGCCTGGACAGCAGCAGTTGCTGGCAGTGGCACTGACAATAGGGTAGGCACCTAAAACTACAGGAGAAAAACCCACTGTTTACCAGAGGAGCTTTATTCCCCAGAACCTGGTTCATATTCTGTTGATTCTATATTTTACTGTCTAACCCACTGCTTGGTCCTGGATACAGATGCAGGTAGTGTGTGGCAGAGTAAAACTCAAGCCCAAGGCTGACTTAATATTTGAAAATGAGTCAGTTTAATCTTCCATGTTAAAACCATATGATATCAGTTGATGCAGAAAAAGCATTTGACAAAATTTAGCGTTAGTTCATGGTCAAAACACTCAGCAAACTGCAATAGAAGGGAACTTCCTCAGCATTATAGAAGGCACCTACAAAAAACTCACAACTAACATGGTAATGGTGAAAACCAGAGCACTTTGTCCCTTGATCTGAAACAAGGCAGGGATATCTATTTTCACTACTAATGTTCAATATACTGAAAGGCCTAGCCAGTGCAATAAGGCAAGAAAAATAAATAAAAGGCACATAGACTGGATGGGGCTGGTGCCGTGGTACAGTGGATTAAACCACCACTTATGGCGCTGGCATCCCATATAA